TCCCGGAAAAGTCTCAAGACTACTAAACGCTTTCACGTGCACATGCTATTTTCAATATTGTTTATGCTGAGTGAAAAATTCTGATAAATGGTTTCTACCTTCCATTTTGCAATCCAATGTCCATTTTAGGAAGCCTTTGTTAAGAAGTGGACAGTTTCCACAGTGGATACAGCAGTGTTTCGTCTTGATTAAGCATTGATTATCTGTGTAGATGATGGCCCAGTATTTAAAGAGTAAATTCACTTCTGTTGAGAAAAAAAAATCTACTCTCTAGGTGATCAATGTACACTGCATTGATTTTAACTAACTTTGTTTGCAGATTCCCACCTTTCTCTGCTGTGAAGAAATAGCTGCTTGTTGTGTACAGAGTGAATCTAAATGGGAGTGACTTCTCCATTATAAATTGGCTGGTGCACATGCATTGTTCTAATGAGAAAAGTTGCAGGGTTTGCATTCCTTTGGGTGTATCTCAATACATCTTACATTTCTTTTACAGAGGATGCCTAAAATCTAGCTTGTATCTTAGGGCAGACTTCTGGGAAAACCAGTGTGTCGATCACACAAGCAGGACATTCCGTTTTCGGGGTAGTTCTGTACACTAACTGTATACAGGAGGCCTCCAGGTTGCCACATTGCACTGTATTTTCCAGCAAATTATAATGCCGAAGTTTGAACATGGCTTGTATAGCAGCTATATTTTCGGTTTTCACGAAAGTGGAGTTGTCCCTAAAGGACTCTATAGATAAATGATTAGAGACACTCTCAAACACGTTGTATTCTCTAGCAGGCCCTGTATTGCAACCTTCTGCAGCCTGTTCCAAAAGCCACTTTTCATTCAAGGTGTTTCCAATGTGGTGTCCCCTGCATGCCCACCGTTGTCCCTTTTTGGGATCTGAATTTGGTTCCCTAAGCATATGAATAAAACTGCCCTTTTGAACCTATTGGGATAGGGATATTTCACTTTCTATACTTTACTTACAAAGTTGTATTCCTTGTTTTGATCATCTCTGCGAAAGCTTTTCTGAATTTGGTGCCTTTGTCCTTCAAAGAACCTTTTTCTTGTCTTGCACAAGGACAAGCCTAGAGTTGAAGCCTGGAGTCTCCTTACTTCTGAAGGTGATTTTGGCCCTCATCTTAACCTAGGCATTGTGCTTCTATTTGTTTTTCCAGCCCCAGTACATCAGAGGGAGATTTCTTGAAAATTTTAAATATAATTTGTGCTGTATGCATTTACTTTGCAGCACTATTCTAATGCTACTGGTCTTCATAAATGTAAACCAGCTTCTCATTCCATTTCTTGGTGGCTCAAATAGATAATCATTTAAAGTTCCACTTTTCTATCAAGGTACACTTTACTAGATCTGTGAGTGCTTTCTGGACTTTTTGGCATCACAACTGCTTCCCATGTTGTTCATTAAAAGACAAGTATGGTTTTTTATTTATTTTCTCCCATTATACTCACCTAGGTGGATGCAGCATCTGTCCCGCTGGCTCTAAGTGTGAGAACTCGGTGATCATATGACCACTGATCTCTTGAGTTCTCACAGCCGCTCTGAGCAATGACTGTCAGTCACCGCTGTCTGCTCTGCATCCCCCCCCCCCCTCCCAGCACTCACTGGCAACTGGCTTGGGCTATGGAGGTGGAGGGAGTGGCTCTTTCAGGCTCTGGGTGGATCCCGACTTTGAAGTCGGGATCTTTCCCCAGCTTGGACTGGCTAAGTCGGCTGAAAACAGGTCACAGGAGTGCAGAACAAACTGTGACATGAGAAGTACAGCCAAGAGGTTTGGCTGTACTTCTCCTTATTAAGTTTTACCACCCCTTTTGCCCACCCTTCTGTAGGAGTGGTGTTGGATGTCCCAGTTGTCTCCGAATCCTGTGTCTCCCAATGAATGAGAAACAGAAAACTTGATTTATTTGCATACATTGTAAATTCCCTTTATTGGAAGTTAGGGCTCACCACTCAGTGTTATACCTCACTCTTGATACTGCTTTGTTACAGAATAAGGCATGCTGGGTATTGGAGGAGTTTATACCAAGCTGGTGTCTAGTGTTGCTTGTTAGTGTCTAAATGTTCCTGTAGGCAGCAGTATAGCCGAGATGTTTCTGAAACCTGTGTCCCTCAATAAACATCCAAGAAAAGGATTTTACAGTAAGTAAACCAGTTTTTTTTTCATTGGTTATATAAATAAATATAAAATGGACCTTGTTATTGTTTGCAGGTACCATCATTTGACCCATTCTCAGGTCCTATTCAGAGTGAGACTAAATGCAACTAGGCCAGGCTGAATGTTGGCATGAAGTGGTTGGGCGAATCCAAGAACATGGTAGTGAATGGCAGGAGACATGGCAACAGGCTGTCCCATGAACACCATCGGAGTCGGGCCAAGCTGCACAGATCAGGAAGAGGAAATTTAAGAGGCACTAAAAATGTTTCTGATAGAAGATCAAGCAGATGTAAGTCTGCCTTCTATATAAATGTCGCTGTCATTTTGTATTCTTTTGTTTTAGTCTAGTCTCCTAATTTCCTATAGTCTTTGATTACTTTTCTTTTTTTAAATCCAAACTTTTCTTTTTCTAAGAGGTTTTTCCATTCTACGTTTCCTGTGTTAATTAAATTCTTGTGTATTTTTGTAGGTAGTGTTATATCTACACATGTTTTTGAAACTCAGAGCCGTTATGTACCTTCATCGGGAATGACAGCTAAAGAGCTCTGTGAAAATGATGACCTTGCAACAAGTCTGGTGCTGGACCCCTACTTAGGGTTTCAGACTCACAAAATGAATACAAGGTAACAAATTCTTAAGATGTTGCTTCAGGAAAAAAAATTAAAAATAATCACAAATGGCAAGGTGATTGCTGGCTTTGTCTACTTATTATATTATACTGTGTGGCCACGTCTGGTGACAGAGTGGCCTAGTGACACCAGCAATAATGTGGCTGTTTAAAGTGCAATTTCTTTTTCACCTCTGCACTTACTGTTCCACCAAATCCTGATGTTTAGTCATCATATCAGGGTGGTATCCCAGCACCAAAGCTCAGCATGCACGGCTCAGTATACATTCACAAAACCTATTGCTAGCAGGCAAGTTATTTATTTTTTTTAATTTTATTTTATTTTTTATGTGGAGAAGTGACATACCAAGTCTCCTCTCATGTAAAATGTTGCTTGCCGCAGCCTTTAGTAAGCTTGAGTTTAGCGCCATTCTTACACGAAGTACATTAATCTGGGCGTGTTAATGCAGCAAACTAGTTTAAAGGATAAGTTCACTGTTTAAAAAAAATAATGAATGCACATCTTTATATAGGTAAAAAAATGTGCATTTATAATTCTTCTTATTATTATTATTATTATTATTATTAATAATAATTTTTTTTTTTATCAGGAGCCTGCAAAGCATTGCACCTGTCATACTACCTCGCACAGGCAGTTACACAATGACAGGAACAACCATCAATGAATTACCTAGAGAGCGCTCTCCAGCTCTCTGGTAGTTCATCAAAAACTACAAGCTGTCAGCCGCAAAGGCTGATGGTAGTTTTAGTTTTCCCATTCACAGAACTCCTTTCTCTACTTCTTCCTCCTTTTTTTTTTTTTTTTTTTTTTTTTTTTTCTTGTGACTGTGGGTGCTAGAAGATTCCTGGCTTACTGTCACTAGAGGCGGTGGATTGGGGGGAGAGGCTTCAGCAGTGGGAACATATTACATTACATTACAAAAAAGTGTAAAACATGTAACATGTTCCCAAAGGTGAACTTAAATTTTAATTGGGTCCAAACTCCTGACTGTGTGCTTTTTGTTCTGCTTTTACGTATATTATAATAATAATAATAATTTACGTGATACAGCTAAATTAAAATAAACCTGAGACCCCACATGGAGTCTTTTCACACTGGTTGTAAAGTTAGTAATCAGAAATCATTATATTGTTGGAAACCTTGGATGTAATATTCATGTCAAATGTAATGCATTTATTTATCTATTTCTGCATTAATACATTATAAGACCGGTGAAGAGAACCAGGTGAGTACAGAGCCAATAGATGCCCTACCTCCCACCCTAGCACAGCAGTTTTCTTTTCCTTTTTTATCTTGATTTTTGTCATAAAGAATACCACATGCGTGCATTTGATAGCTGTGCTCGCAAATCCTTAATGGGCAGTTTTACCTAAAACTGTTTATTTTGCCTTGATTGGCCTGTAAACGAGCCAGATCCATCACTATATTGTTAAAGCACCCAATACCTAGTGTAGAGTTCCCTCTGTACACCTGAGGTGGTTGTAACAGTCTTGCTTTTAAGTTGATCAGTTGTTTGAGCTCTGATGATGTTTGGTTAGGTTATTCCAGAGAATCCAACAGAGTGACACTGCAACAGTCTTACCTTTTTTGATTGGAATTTCTTGAAGAATGTGGAAAATGACCTGGCATAATGCCATATAACTTCTGTCTTGATCACAGGGGGAATAACAAGGGATTTTACCCCTCCCTTTGCCTTCCTTCCTTGCTTTATTATCCTGTATTATTTATTTATTTATTTTGTCTTTTTTGTGTGCTTACTTCCCAGTTATAGTTGAAGTTTCAAAAAAGTACTTGTTGAGCTGAAAAAAAAGATTTTGTGTTCTTGTTTCTTGATCCTTTAATATTATCTTTTATAATTTTATGATCTTTAGCAAAAGAAAATAAAAAAAAATCATATCTTGTCATTTTGAAAACCCACATCACTAAAGACAGTGTTTTTGCATTGGTAAATCTAGTAACATTTTGACAATTCAGTTGAAAATTGTGATATTCATGTATTGTATTCAGTAACTCTGTTGTGGGCCCATTGAACTGCTAGGTGCAGATAATAAAGAAAGCAATGTTTTTTCTTTTTAATGTAGCACTGACACCTGCTGCTTCAATTTTATGTCCATCCTACCAATACTAAAGCTAACAAAATCTAGTTTTGCCAAGAAAAACTATAGCACTTTTTCACGGCAATATTTGTGTGATGTGGCACTATCTATGGAATCCTACAGTGCACATATTTTTCTTCCCAGGTTTCGTCCAATAAAAGGGAGGCAGGAAGAGCTAAAGGAAGTGATTGAAAACTTCAAGAGAACTGAACATTTGGAGAAAACCTTCAAAAATCTAATATCTGGTGACTGGTCACGACACTATTTTCTTAATAAGAATAAAGCACAGGAGAAACATTTCAAGGAACATGTACGTCTATTTTTTTGTCTACAAGGTTCTTTATATAATGGCAAGCATCTTGCCTGGAAATCGTTTCCTGGTTTGTGGAGGGAAGCTGCCTCTGTACCTGCCTGTTATTCTATGTTCTGATAAGCAATGACTTGATAAATCTTAGGGTAGAAACTTTGTTTCTTTGAACTGAGAAAGGTTCGTGAACTGGTTTTGGTCTTTATGAATAAAGGATCCCAGTGGAATTATTCCATGTTTGTCCAGCTAGGGGGTAGGCCCCAGAATGGACTCAAGATCCGTTGAAGGGATTTTATCTTCTAAAATTTTCCATTGCACCTGTCGTAACTAGAAAAGTATAATGCTAATATAACTGGTACATAATAGGTCACAGAGTAGGGGTTGGGAAGGGGACCTGTAAGTGAAAGTTCTGAAGAGAAAACTCAGATCCCCTTTCAGGACTGAATGGCCAGAAATTGTGATTGTGTATAGCCATCCACAGGTATCCTATATTTTTATGTCAAGACCTGTCGACTACGTCAACTGCAAAATGAGTTTCCTTGTCCTTGAAAATGCATTGAAAAGAAAATCTCTTGAGGAAATTATACCAAGTTCATGTCGTTGGCGTTTGAACCAAATGTGTGACAAATTTAAAAAGGACAGGACCCACCGAGCAGAGGAATCTGGCAGTCTTGCTGGGTGAGGGGTTGCCTTGGCACTCCATGGGTTTAACATGGTTCCTTTTAGGGGTTATTTCACACATAGTGTAAAACGCCTGTCACCGCAAGGACAGAAAACAGTTGTTTTCTGCATGTCCCATTCACACTGCATTGAACCCTGGAGCTGTTCTAAAATGCAGACATGCTGCATTTTATCACAGCGCACTGTACAAAATCACATGGCACTATTCAGCAGCGCACCGCCCTGCTCTACAGCACCATGAGTGAAGTGTGCACTTTACATAAAGTTTGTCCCAAGCCCTGAATCGTGCACCACACTGCCCTGTACTGCAGCTGGGAACGGACAGCTGCTGGCCAGGTAAATCCTTACGACAGCTGTCAGTTCCTCTGTAAACCCAGCCTTAAAGTGCTGGTCTAACAATTGTGTTACGTTACATTAGGATTTATCCTTTAAGTCCACATTATGACTGACAAATTGTTTTCTCCTTATAGGTGTTTATCTATTTGAGGATGTTTGCAACCAGCAGTGGGTTTGAAATATTGCCTTGCAATCGTTATTCTTCTGAACGAAATGGAGCCAAAATAGTTGCAACTAAGGAATGGTATGTATATGTGTCTGTGCATATTTTTTTTTTTTTCTTTTTCAAGTTATATGCAGTTTTGTGTAGTAAATATACTAGTTGGCAAGAAACCTGCACAATGCTCGGTAATGAAATCCTGTATATTTGATCCTGCAACAGGAAACGTAATGACAAAATAGAACTACTTGTGGGATGTATAGCTGAGCTTTCTGAAGCTGAAGAAAATATGCTTCTGCGTCATGGAGAAAATGACTTTAGTGTCATGTACTCAACAAGAAAAAACTGTGCTCAGCTATGGCTTGGGCCAGCTGCCTTCATCAATCATGGTACGTTCAAACATCATTTTGGGATACAGCAGCTAAAATGCCAGGACTTGCCTTTATCTTATCCAAGATTAATTATCGTGACACCCTCTTACCAGCCAAAACCACTTCTCCAGTCCATTTTGAGCTCCTTGCCTCCAGTTACTCCACTACTTGCCAGTTCCAATGTTCTCATTAGATTAGCTCCTCAGACTGTTTCTAAGCTCCTTTGCAGATTCTGCCCTAAGCACAATCTCCATTGTCCTCTTCGCTCTTTTACCTTCAGGACTTTTCTCACATTCCTCCACTTTGCTGGAAGTGAAATTCAGCATTTAAAAACTTTACATGTCCTGAAACTTGCCACTTCTTACAAGAATACAATGTGATCTAAAATATTCTCTTCTGTGACTGATTTATTAGATCTGAGAAGGCACAGTTTGTCACTCTTTCTATACTTTTAGATTGTAAGCTTCAACACAACTCTTGTCTATTGTACCATACATCTTTCTTTGTTTAAAATGTGTTTGTGATTTTAATCTATATTGCACACATTTTAATAGCACATTCCCTTAGGCGAGATTTGAATAAAGCTATATGGGAAGATCTTTGTACTACATGCAGTCACAGTGTAACCTAGCTACACTTACCTCCTTTCCCTTTCAGCTACATAAGGTTTAATTGTTCTGTTGAGAGAATATGATGATGTGTAATTAAAATATAACTAAAAAGTGAGTAATGGGGATAGCAAATATTTTAGGGCTTGTCTACACTTGCGGTAATGTTCAACAGCCCTCTAAAAAGTAGCCTGCCGTGGGTTGCTTTTCAGAGGGCTGTTGACAGGTGGCTGGGAGGTGGTATGTTGCCCCATGCTGTCTGCTTAAACGCTTGAAAGATGACAGCACTACTCCATAACTGTGCGCATTATACACAGTTGTAGTGCAGCCTCATTCACTTTTTAACAGGTCATGTTTGGTGGAGGTACTACCCACCAAGTGCGTCATGGGGTATAATTGTGGCTGAAGAGCAAAGCAGTGTGGCTGCAGCATGTTTACCATCCTCTCTGGCCACTATGTAAGGTTATGGTTCAATGTAGTGGCTTAAAAATACAGTAGCTTAGCTAGAGTTTATTTTATTGTCTAACATTTCAGATAGAGTGCTAAGGAAAATTTTAGAGTTCTATCTTTTTGGATACTAATTCTTAATGTTTCCTTATCCACCTACAGATTGCAGACCTAACTGCAAGGTAAGTGCTGTACAATAGTGCATACATTTTTATTAGAATTTTTTTTCTTGTTCCTATCTGAGAACGGTAATCAAATATTGGCTTTGGACTTCCAGTTTGTATCGACTGGGCGCGACACTGCATGTGTCAAAGCACTGCGTGATATTGAGCCAGGCGAAGAAATCTCTTGTTATTATGGTGATGGCTTTTTTGGCGAAAACAATGAGTTCTGTGAATGTTACACCTGTGAAAGGTAATGTATTTTTTTTTTTTCCTTAAATTAAGAGATTTATGCTATTTCTGGTCCTCTGCTTTCTTCAGTCGTTGACAATGCAACTATTCCGCATGTGCACAGATGTTACATTGACTCTGACACCCATCTCTAGCTAGAGAGTGCACTGCACATCACGTGCACCATATAGTACACAGAAAATAAAAAAACACCTAGAAGCGAGTAGAAGCAGACTATAGCAGATTTTCTAGGAATGAACTACAAGTACCATCATCCTTTGCGGCTAACAGCTTTTAGTTCTCAATGAACTAACAAGGTGCTGATGAGCGCTCTGGTAGTTCATTGATCTTCCTGTCTTTTCAGTAACTGCCTGCCCGTATTGGAGGTACGAGCAGACAGCCACACAGACAATCGTGTGTGTTTGTGTGTGTGTGTCTTACCGAACCATGCTGGAAAAAGCTGATAACCACAGTAAAAGCTGTTGCATCTGGTACTGCTCCTATCCATTATTGAAGATCTTAATTTAATGTTCTAAAGATGTTGGCTTTTATTAAATAAAAACAAAAGCAATAGGTACTGTTTATCTAGCAGAGCTTTGATTAAGCCTGTTGTCTCTCAGTATCCCTGTACTGGAGATTGATGGGGGGAAAGAGACAAGTGTTTGCCACAAGCCCACTGCAGATAAGTAGGAACTGGGCCCAAAAGAAATGAAGATTTCTCCATCGTTCATTGAGGGACACCGCTTGATGGTAAGAAATGTAGGGTTATACTGCCGACTACCAGATAAATGGATACTAACCACATAGAATACTGAAGGCTTACATCTTTTGTAGCTATAATCCCTCCCACCCCAAACCTGTTCAGTGTGCTTAGAAGAGTGGTTCTCTTACTTTCTGATATATGTTTTGCTTGAACTGATTTTCTTTTTTTTTTTTTTTTTTACCATCAACAGCTACTTGCAGGTTCAGGTTTAATTAGAGATCCTAGAAGTCTCACCGGTTAACCGAGTGCTGGTTTTCTCATTTCGTTAAAAGAGAAGTGTTTGGGGGGAAGAAAAAATATTTATACTCTCCCATATGGCTGCAGCATTGGTCTAAAGATGCAGCTGTCCCCTGCTAGCTCTAAGACTGAGAACTGAGCAATCACATGACTGTTGATCAGTCAGTCACCGCTCTCTGCTCTGCCCCTGGAGCTCTCACTGGCGAGCTTTGCTGTGACAGGGGCAGAAGTAGCTGTCTTAGGCTCTCGGCGCCGTGCAGAGACACTGAGCCAGCTGCCGGCCAGGCATCTGGGTGGATCCCGACCTTTCTCGTTGTGCTGGTCATCTGTGTTTGGGTGCGCCAGACCCACAGGTTGTTCTGCTCCTGGATGTCCCTGGGTTTTTTACTATCACACTGTGTCCCTCAATGGACTTTAAAATAATTTTACAGTGAGTACAAAAATCCTATTTTTTAGTCCATTTGTGAACAGACCGATTTAATCTTCATAAAAGCTGTTGAATAAGAACAAAAACAATATATGGTATATTTTATAATGCAGTGAATGTGACATTCGCCGTAAAGTGAATCAATCACTGTATTTTAAAATACAGGAAAGATATGTCTGCAGTGAATGTTTGGTGACTTTCATCTTCACTGCTGTCATGTTCAAAGACTGTGGTGGTAGTACCTTACTATGAGAACATAGTTGTAAGTAGACAACCTCTGCTACAAAGGCTATATGTGTGGTGATTAGAATGACACTTTAGAGTTGGTGTCTGAATTACGTTAGTAAACAAAAGGATATACAATTGAAGAATGAGAAAAGAACAAACAGGGCGCACAGGCCTAGTGCATTACCATAAATTGTTTAATAAGAAATAAAGTAGGTGTTGTACTCACAAACGACAATAAAGTCAAGGCATGTCATAAAAGAACAGCTTAGTCAACACTGCGCTGTGTAACAGTCCACAATAGGGAGTGTATACATCCAGTAGACTGACGCGTTTCGAGGACTTGCCTCTTTCTCAGTGGCTCTGAGGAAGAGGCAAGTCCTCGAAATGTGTCAGCCTATTGGATGTCTACACTCCCTATTGTGGACTGTTACTCAGCGCGGTGTTGACTAAGCTGTTCTTTTATGACATGCCTTGACTTTATTGTCGTTTGTGAGTTCAACACCTACTTTATTTCTTATTAATCATTTTTTATGGTAATGCACTAGGCCTGTGCGCCCTCTGTTTGTTCTTTTCTCTTTCAGTATATTTGGATTTTCCCGGTCTATTGAGGGCAGCAAGGTGTGCATGTTCCAGGACATTCTTAATGTGGTTGCAGCCTGCATCGAGTCCATCCCAAAGCTCAGGAGCATTTGTGTTTGCTGATACAATTGAAGAGTTGTAATAGTGTTTGTTACTCTTTTTAGGCGTGCAACTGGTGCTTTCAAATCACGCGTAGGTCTTAATGAACCGGGTCCTGTGATCAACAGCAAGTATGGATTACGGGAAACAGACAAACGTTTGAACAGACTCAAAAAGCTTGGTGACGGCAGCAAAAATTCAGATAGTCAGTCTGTCAGCTCCAACACAGATGCAGACACCTCTCAGGAAAAATCTAACTCATGTAAGAATTAGTTGCCTTTATGTAATTTTTTTTTTTTTTTTTTTTTTTTTTTTTTTTTTTTCCTTTTGTCTTAATGTGTATATGTGGGGAACAAACCTTTATCGTATATTTTATATATATATATATATATATATATATATATATATATATATATATATCTATATACACACACACCCCTTTCCCATGCTTTGTCTCTTTTTTAAAAATACTTCAAGTACATATAAATACCTGTTGATCTTCCAGAAATCTGAGCTGCACTGCACCACCTCCTCCTCTTAATAACATAAGGAGAAAGTTGATCTGTAGTTCAGAGGGAACAGATGGGCAGAGCTCATAACATTGCTTGGGAGCAAAGGCAAAGTACACATTTGACTGGCTTTGGCTCTCCTATAGGAATGCAGTAGTGTTAATCTGCTTTCTTCTCCCTTTGTACGCATGCACAAAATAAAAAAAGCATTCAGTGAATAGACAGCGGAAGAGTGGCAGATAAACGACATTACTGCTTCCCTATATGGCTAGAAGTACAGCGGGACTGTACCATCTGGCATTAATGAAAGTATGAATTTTACACTAGACAGAAGGGATCTGGACATGGCATAAACATCAGCATAGGTAACGTTTTCCAACAGATATCACCATGCTGTCTGCTTGGAGTTCCACTTTTAAAGTGATTGTGTCATGAGGCAAATTTTGAAGCAGCCACTTCTGTCTTGCTGAAAATGCTAGTTTACAGGCTGTTATGCTGGCTCACTAGATTTAACATTTTGAGTCACTCACCCAGACCAGGTGTGAGTTTCAGGTAAGAGTCATATGATCTTATTTGGAAGCAGTTACTCAAAGTACTGAAACTAGTGAGTCAGGCTATTGACACGGAAAACACACTGATGGCAGCCTGCGTGTCCCACATGACAGGTTCCCTGTTAAAGGATAAGTTTCCCTTTGGTAACATATTTGCAGAGAGCGCCTGCCCACACCCCCTACCCCCAATTCCCACTGTGACAGCAGGCAAGGGGTCTTCTCCCTGCCCCTGCTGTCACAATTCAAAAGCGCACCGCTTTGCCATGTCATACATTCACAGAATTCTGTGCATGAATGATTAAACTACAACTAGCCATTGCGCCAGACATCTTGTAGTTCTCAATGAACTTTGAGGGTACTGATGAGCACACTTATAATTCATTGATCTTCCTTCTCTCCAATGACTGTGTGCCCATACAGGAGGTAATGGCAAACCTCTATACTGAGATTCTGCAGGAGCCTGGCATTGCACCTGTGATCTGCTGATATGCTCATATATATAATCGTAACATATCAGCAGAACGCTGGTGCAATGCCAGGCTCCTGCAAAATCTCAGGATAGATATATATCAATTATGGTGAACTTAACCTTTTTTTTTTTTTTTTTTTTTTCATCTCTTGTGCTTTACAGGCAGAAACAGAAAATCTTCAGTTGGTGTGAAGAAGAATGGGAAAAGAAGAACGTTGACAAAACAGCCTATGTCACAAATTCCAGTTTCATCCTCTTCTACCTCATCAAAACTCTCTCATATAAATAATTCCAGGGTACCAAAGAGACTAAGAAAGCCTGTAAAGCCTTTCCATTCTAAAATTAAGATGAGAAATCACTGCAAGCGACCAGAGAGCAGAGAAATACTTCAAACAGGCTTGAAGTAGGGAACGTAGTACTTAAAGAACCTAAAGTAGTGTTGTATAAAAACATGTCCGTTAAAAGGGATAAAGAGAGCGGGGGACCAGCAAAGTTGAAAGAAAGCACTGGTTGTTTAACAAGACATGCAGCAAGAGAATATAAACTGAATTCTTTGAAAGGTGCTCTTGGTGAATCATCTTGTTCATATATCACTCGAAGCTCTATGAGAACAAGGAACTCTGTGGAAGCGTCTGATGCTAAGCTTCCACCAAATTCTTTGGATGTTCATAGAAGCAATGGTGGAAGTGTTGTACCAGTGCACAGAACTGACTTTGAAGAACAGTCATTAAATAACAATGAACTTGATCTTGACACCTCAAACACACAGGAGAGTAGACATCAGACAAATGGTCTGTGTAAGTCTAAACGGAAGTCTAGACAGACCAAACACTTGAAACAGGCTGCTCACATGGCTGTGTCAAATTGTGATTTTGAATTGTCTGGTGAAGATAACAATTTGCCAAACATAGTAAGTTCACATTGTGAGTTGGATGCTATAAATGCTGTTTCTGATAGTCATGCTGATTATAAAGATCTGAGGACATCTTCAGATGGTTGCCCTGTTGTCAGTTCAGAAATAAGGACAAAAGAAATAATCAGAACTGTGAAAAGTAAAAAAAGCAGGCGAATCACAAGATATGATGCACAATTAATTCTTGAAAATAGCACTGGAATTCCAAAACTAACTCTCCGTAGACGTCATGACAGTAACAGCAGCAAAGGAGAAAAGGAAAATGATGGCATGGGCTCATCCAAAATTAGCATTAAACTGAGTAAGGATCATGAAAAGGACAAGAACAGTTTGTATGTAGCAAAACTTAACAATGGTTTTAACTCAGGATCAGGTAGTAGTTCTACAAAACTAAAGATTCAGCTTAAGAGAGAAGAAGAAACAAGAATGTCCTTTCCAGAGGAACTTCATGAAAATGGTGTGTATTGTAAAGATGCATTGTCTCTGCTGGGAACCAGAATGGAAGTTAACAACTATGATCCTTATGAGGAAGAAAGTATGGAGGATTCTTCATCAGAAGAAGAGGGAGAAGATGAATATGATGATGATTTTGAGGATGACTTTATTCCTCTACCACCAGCAAAACGTTTGAGACTGATTGTTGGAAAGGATTCAATAGACATTGATATATCCTCCAGGCGGAGAGAAGATCAGTCTTTGCGTCTGAATGCGTGAAATATTAATATTTTTTTAGGTTGACCTCAACAGTCATTTTTACTCCATTACCTATAAAATAAACTTATTCCATTGAATTATTCCTTTACTTCAAAAACTGTAAATTTTAGAGACTGCACTTGTTAGTTCACTCTGAAATGTAATTGTAGAAAGTGTACAGCATACCAACTTAAATTTTTAATTTTTACTGTACTTTTTAACAGTCTTCTTATGTGCAATTTTGAGTTAAAAAAAAAATATTGTCATTTGGGTCGTGTTGTATATGGGAGGACAATGTACATATTAAACTTTCCACACAAGACAATAAAGTATAGTAGTGTGGCTACCCAGTCATATTTGTTTAAACCCCTAGAAGCTTTGTCATTAATATTTTAACAAGAATCACAGTAGTAACATTACACTTTTTCCATATGTTGTTATCACCAGCAATGATTACACCTTTTCAAATTTATTTGCTTATTCAGAAATCTATTTTTACTGTACCTCTATACTAAAAGTTCTGTCTGTGGCATTTTTTTAGCAGCAAATTCTTCATTTGGGCTTGTTTACACTAGGTGCATTGTTGTGCGTTTTTGTTACATTTTTCACAACCGGTAGAATGCATGAACATGAGTAAATCCATTAATTTCAGTAGGGTCCTTTCACACTAACACATTGCATTAAGATGTGTTGGGCAAAAAAGACCTGCATGCTACATTTTTGGTTCCTTGAGCTGCATTTATTTCCTTTCAAGTCAATTGAATGGGATCCTCCTCACAGCATGTAAAATGCATCCAAAAACACATGCATCTGGTGTGAATGAGCCCTGAACCTCTAATTGATTCAAATAAAAATGTCAGAAAATGATATTTGCTTATCTTAGTAGCACATTTATGTACAGGGCCTAGCCATATGCAGAATAAAAGTTTGGACATGGGTGTATTTATTGCTTGTTATATAAATATAAAAAACTTATATTTAACACTTAAAATTTTAGATAAAATTTGTTCTTTTGAAGACTGATTGGTGCTTATTTTTTCATGGAAGAGGCTGTGAAAATAAGGTGACAAGGATGAAATGTATCCACTTAAATGCAGCTGTCATCTACATACACAGAAAATTCTTGTCCTCTCTTGCAGTTTGGCAAAGCTACAACTGACTGAATGTTATGAACATTCTGACAGGGAGCTAAAGGTATGTTACTTTTCCTTTGTGTAAAAGTTAACTGTATATAATGTATATATGAGTGTGGTGAGGAGTTTCATTTCTGCCATAAAAAAATGATTTACCGTAATAGTTAAAACTTAAGTATTCATGACAATAAAATAGGAAATTGTAAACCCAAGTTTATTAATGATTTTGTTTTTAATCATTTTCTTTCATATTTAACTTTTTACATTTTATATGTTTTTTTTAGACTCGAGCACACTAAATTTCACATTGTTATAACATCTTATCCAAATGAGTTGGTGATTTATGTATAGGTAGCATTCAATGCAAATGTGAATAAAAAAGGTCATACCCACGTGTCTCTGTAATAATCCAGTTCTGATTTTAAGTACATTTGAAAAAATTGTTTGAAATATTGTTATATATTTATTGAGGTCTTTGAGTATGTGGAAGTAAACTTTTATGAAAGGTGTCCTGCAGATGGTGCCATATGTATAGTAGTTTTGAAGTAATGATCACACAGACCTACCACCATCCTTGATATATGGTTATATCAACACCAGAACAATGCTGTGTGTAGAGCCACTATAAGGAAGCAAAAAATGTGCATTTGAAAGGCAAAGATTTTTGAGTTTGCACAAAAATACAACAATCATCAGTGGCACCGATCGTTGCAGGACAAAATTAGGGTACACAGAGTAAATTGATTTATAATTGTGCAGCATCAAAATAGGAGACATACAAAATTGCAGGTTGGCTACTACCAGGTTATCACAAGTAACAAGCAAGAAAAGCCTATGCGATCTTCTATCCAGCAGATGGGACTGAAAAAATAAAGGAGGGAAGGCGAAGGAAACGGGGAAAGGATAGATTTCAGATCTTATTGACCAGTATCCAGACCACTCTGGTACCGGTTCAGGAAGAAGAGGTGGTGGGAGAGTAGGAGAACACAAAGAGCAATAAAGAAG